ACCCAAATGTACAAAGCACCCTGAGAAAGGGAAAAGGAAGGAACTGTCTAAAAAATGAAGACAGAGGACACTGTTAATAGTGTATCAGGATTTGAAAGCCATATTAGTCTTATCGCTCTGTTTAGTTTGATTTTATTCTGTTCCAATCTGTCAACTCATACTAGATTTGAGAACACAGACAGCTATCCCAACAATAGCAAGATATACTACGGTAACTATCCTTAATTTCCTAATAACTTAAACTGGAGTCCTGTATTACTTACATTGTCTTACCATGACTGATCTTATTTGAATCTGGTTTGTTAGATCACTGTTTTGTCTTAACTGATTTTATTCAAATTTAGTATGCTTCATAGTATCAAGTCTAAGAGCAGAGGCAATTACTCTGAAGATGACAAGATGCAATAGGATACCCATTCTGGTTTGATTATTAACTGCTTTTGAAGTCGTATAATGTCTCCAATATTTTGTTTTTATTAATATTGCTATCTAGTGCTATGTTCAATTATATTATGCCTGATGACATAGACAATTCTATAGAGAATAACAAGAGACATCATAGTCACTACTGTAGATCACCTAGTATTGTGGTTTTATGTGTCTTTTTTGTTTCATGTTTTTCTAGGAGTCTGTTTTGTTGTCTTGTTTTGATTTGTTTTTCCCTCTAATACAGAAAGGATAGGTATATAGGTAGAGGTTCATGCATGTGTAGAACTTCTAAACAGTTTATAAGAATAGATTATGTAATGCACAATGTAATGAACAGATACTTTGACGAAAAAGAAACACTAAGATACCCATTACTAATTCCATAGCATCATGATATAAAATCTAGCAATACTATTATTCTCTGTACAGAGTGATATTAGTCTGTTTTCTTTTGTTTAATTTCAACATACGTAAAGATATGGACAGCTATTTTGAAGAGAACAAGAGACATTATGGCAGTCATCGTTGACTTCCCTATTGTCTGGTCTTGAAGACCTAAAATGCCTTTATCATCCTGTTCGGATCAGTTTAGTACTCTATTGTTTGGTATGAATTTACTGTGTGTGAAGATATGGACAACTATTTGAAAGAAAACAAGAGACAGTATGACAGACAGTGAAGATCTCTGGTGGTCTTGCTTTGAAATTTGTTTCTTAAATTGTATTCTTTTGATCTGTATTGTTCTGTTTTGTTATGTTTAATTTTACTCTCTTTTAAAAAAAAAGAAACAAGAGACACATTTGACTCAAAAAGAAATTCATAGAAGGAAAGTCAAAGGCTAGAATGACAGTACCAGCACAGCATACCAGAACTTACGGAATGCAATGAAAACAGTCCCACAAGGTAAAGTTATAGTGTTGAATTTCTGGACCAGAAAAATGGATCGAGGTCAGATAACCTCTGTTGAACCTCAAGCTTTCAGAAAAAAACAAGCATGACTCAAGGCTAGAACGCTTATGAGTTAGGCAATTAGAACCATCAGAACAAAAATCAGTGCAATGAGACTAAGTAAAGAATCAATGAATCAGGAAGTTGTGGTTCTTTTTTGAAAAATTAAACAAAATTGGCAAACCTTTAGCCAACCTTATTTTTAAAAACTGGTACAAAAGACTTACATCTGTGCAGGAAGGAGTGAAGGACGTAGATAACAGCAGATCCTGCAGGAATCCAAGAGACTATTTATACCTATTCTGAGAGCCCATCCTCTAGTAAGGTGTAGAACACAGAAGGGACAGATTCCTGAATACATATGAATTTCCAAAGCTGAACCAAGAAGATACAAATATTCTAAACAAACCAATACTGGTGTATGAAATTGAAGACATAATTTAAAACACACCATTAAACAGAAACCCAGGCCCTGACTCGTTGCTGGATTCTATAAGAAATTAAGAGAAGACCAAACATCACTCTTCTCACACTTTTTAATGAAATTGAGGAAGAAGCGACAGTTTGGGAGCAAATTGATTTCTGAAATCAAGCATTACCCTCTTAAAAAATACCAGGCAAGAAAACAACTAAACGAGAGAACTACAAGCCAATCTCCATAGAGTATTGACACAAAAAAGTGTCAATAATATTCTGGCAAACAAAATGCAGCAAATCATCAAGCATATTACACACCATGACAAAGCAGGATTCATTTCAGGGATGCAGGAATGGCTCAATATATGCAAATCAATAAATGTAATACACCATATTCACAGAGCTGAAGACAAAAACAAAATGATCATTTCAATAGATGCAGAAAAAGCATCTGACAAAGTCCAATGCTCATTCATGTTAAAAAGAAAACCTACAGAAAATTGGAATGCATCCTCTTTCTCTCAATCTGAGAAAAGCCTTCTATGACAACCAACAGCCAACATCATACTAAGTGGACAAAAATGAAAGCTTTCACTCCCAAAACAGGACCACACAAGGGTTTCCACTGTCCCTAGTCTTATTCAGTATAGTTCTGGAAGCAATAGCCCCACCAATTAGACAAGAAGGACACACACAGGGAGAGAGAGAGAGAGAGAGAGAGAGAGAGAGAGAGAGAGAATACAATAGAAAAGGAAGAAGTTAAATGATCCTTATTAGTAGCCATGACATGATGCTCTATATAGAAGACACCAAAAATGCCACCAAAAGCCTTCTAGACTGAGTGCCCAAGGTTTGTGTTGTAGCTACACACAAGGTCAACACTGGACTATCAACAGCATTCCTCTGCACAAGCAACAAACTCACAGATAGAGAAGTGAGGGAAGTCATACCCTCCACAATTGCATCAGAAACATGAAATGCTCAGGAATCAGTCTAACAAAGGAAGTGGAAGATCTATACACTGACAATTACAGTGCTTTGGAAAAGGAGAGCGAAGAGCATATCAGAAAGTGGAAAGATATCCCTTGGTCATAGATAGGAAGAACCAACACAGTGAAAATGGCCCTACTCCCAAAATTGCTGTACAGGTTGATTGCAATCCCAATCAAAATACAATCAGCACACCTCACAGAATTATAAAAAATGATTTTTAAACTTCATTTAGAACTAAAAGAGACTTAAGAGTCGCTAAAGCAATTCTGGGCAACAAAGGTACGTCGGGGGCATCACAATCTCTGACTTCCAATGATGCTACAAATCTACTGTGATAAAGCCAACGTGGTATTGGCAAAAAAGCAGATCTGAGGACCAGTGGGACGAGACAACTCCAAACACACTCAGCCAATTGATCTTTGACAAAGGGGCCCAACATGTTCACTGGAAGAGAGAGCCTCTTCAATAAATAGTGCTGGAAAAACTGGCTCTGCACAGGCCGAAGACTAAAAGTAGACCCGTGTGTCTCACTATGTACTAAACTCACGTAAAAATGGATAAAAGATCTAAATATTAAAATAGAAACAGTAAATATGCTTGAGGTGAAAATAGTTAGAGATCTTGAAGACTTCAGCGTAGGCAGAGACTTCATGAAGAAAACACAGACTGCACAGGAAATACTAGAGAATAAACTAATGGGGTCTCATCTAATTTAAAAGCTTTTGGGGCTGGGGATTTAGCTCAGCGGCGTAAGCACCTGCCTTGCAAGCAGGCGGTCGTGAGTTTGATCCCTGGTACCAATAAAAATGAAAAAGACAAAAAAAATAATTTAAAAGCTTTTGCACAGCAAGACAAACCACTCACAGAGTCAAAAGAAAACAAACAGAGTGAGAAAGTGTTACGTCCAGCTGTCACTCAGATAAAGGACTCATATCTAAAGGAATAAAGAATTGAGGGCCAGGTTTTAGCTCAGTGGCACAAGTGCCTGGCAAGTGCTAGGTAGTGAGTTTAGTCCCCAGTACGAGGAAAAAAAACCTGAAAAAATGTCAGACCCCATCCCTAAATTCAAAGACTCTCCAAAAATGGGCATCTGAAATGAATAGACACTTCTCAGATGCAGAAATTCAAATGGTGGATAAATATATGAAAACATGTTAATTGGCCATTGAAGAAGTACAGTTTAAAAGAACACTGATATTTCATCTCACCCCAGAAAGAACAGCTATGATCAAGAAGTCAACCAATAACATATACTGGAGGGGCTGTGCAGAAAAAGGACACTTCCACTATTGGTGAGAGTGTAGACTGGTGCAACAACTGTGGAAATCAGTGTGGAGCTTCCTCACAAACTAGGATCAGAGGTCCCACTTGGCGCAGCTATTCCCCTTCTGGGTGTCTTTCCAGAACACTTAAAAATCATACCACAGCAATGTATGTGTAGTCACATTGATAGCAGCACAATTCATAAGAGCTAAATGTTGGAAACAACACAAATGCCTATAAATTGAGGTCTTTTTACACTATAGAATACTACTCAGCCATAAAGAAGAACAAACTGGATTCTTTTATTGGTACATGAATGCAACTTGAGAGCATAATCGTAAGTGAAGTGATTCAGGTTCATTTGCATAAGTATCATATTGTCTCCCTGGTGTGAGAAACTGAAGGGTAAATAAGGTCCAAAGTGTACAGTAGGTTTTATGAAATGGGAAGCGACTGTTCAAAAGGGACAAGGAATGGGGGAAGGGGAAAGGAGCAAAAGGGAAAAGGAAAATAATTACAAGACACTTATTCTACTAGAGCAGAGTTGATTGAAAGGCAAGGATTGTACTAAAATCATTTGGAGGATTTTTTTAAGGTCATGGCTTATGCACTGACTGATTAAAGATAGTAATACCCAATGTATTCACAATTGTTATTCTCTTATTTTGTTATGCAATGTTGTTTTACTTTTTTCCACAAAAAGTAAACTAGAAATAAAAACTAAGAGTTAAAAATAAAAACTAAGAAATTTATATCATTCTTTGGAATAAACCATACTAAAAAATAAAATATGTGTATACTTAAAACTAAAGAATGGATCAAAGTCATTTAACTAATCACAAATGAATCAAATGGAATCTATGAAAACGCATTCGATTCGTAATATGGCTAAAATATTCATATCACACAAATAATCTACAGGCTTCAGAGCGCACTCTGCAAAAGCTCACAAGCGGTGGATGTCATCCAGGTGCTGCAGCAGGACTGCCTTCCCATGGTGGGAATCCTTGGGGCCAGCTGGCACAGGATACCCACAAGCCATTCTGTGGCGGCAATGAGCTTGATAGTGCCTTCTGGTTCTTCGCTGGTTACCATCTTTGTGGGAAGCTTTATGGGTCTCTGACAAGAGATGACTTTCGCCTGACATTTGAGGAGGTGAGATGTGGGGAACCACTCAGACGGGATCAAAACTCAGAGCATGTGAGAACACTTGTGGACAGCAATGAGGACGCGACCCCACTGTCAGCACAGATGCACAAGGGGGCATAAATATGTTACCAAGACCCAGCAGTAGACAACTATGCATGCTTCACTCAGGCCAGCAGGAAGAATGCACACAGGTGATAAAAACATTTTTTAAAAATTTACAATAAAGACCCAGGTGGCTCTTGCACTCCTCTCTGCTCTGCCCTGTGCTGCCTGTTGTTACTGACAGTTGGCACACATGCATTGTTTAACCTGGGCTCCTCGTTCATGAAAATCACCCTCCCCTCCCCTTCAGGGGGCTGACAGTATGTCAAGTGCTTTCTGGCAAGGGAGGCTCCATCATCACACTTCTGATCATCGATATCTTAATAAACAATGATAATAGCAAATCAACTTACAAAATGCTTTCCCTTAAGTTGTCTGAGTTGTGGGGACAGGCAGAAAAGGAAAATCAGAGGGCAAAGATGTAGCCAAGCCCTGGACACCGGCATATACATACATGTAAAACCCTCTGTCTTCACAAAACACTCCAGGCAGAGTAGGCTTGCAGAAACTGCAGAATTCTCCCAAGAATCTCGGGATCACTGGCTTCTCCTTCTGTGGAGAAATAGGGCACACGTGTCCCAGGTACTTCTTTCTAACTAAAATGTACCCTTGTTTAACTAGAGAGTTGGTGAATTGTGATTGTGTGTGTGTGTTCATGTGTGCGTGTACACTACGGATCATACCAAGGACTTCCCAAATGCTAGACAAACACTCTGGCAGTGAGCTGCACCTCCACCAATAAACTGCTGCATTTCCAGGCAAAACAGAAAGTTAAGTTTAAACTACACCTGTCTGAGTGCCTCCTCCAGTGCAGACTCCAAGGCAGCCTTCACGCCTTCATTGTCTGGGAGGTCATAGGCTTCCCAGATTCTAAGTTCATCAAAAGAATCATATGCATTCCCGAGTTGGTCCTCTGAGAGGAGCTCTCTGACCTGCAGATCCTCCTGCTTCATGCAGAGCCTGGATCCACTAGTCAAGAAAGGAGTACGGAGGTCACTGTGTCACAAAAGGAAAAGCTTCAAGGCTATTTGACTGTATACTCGTCTGTTCCTCTTCCTCTCCCCTTCAGTCCTTCTCCCTTTTCTCCTCCTCGTCTTGCTCCCCCATCTTTTCTTTTGAGAGAGGATCTCCCTAGGTTGCTCAGGCAGGCTTTGAACTTCCAGACTCAGACAATGATCCTGATCTAGCATCGTCCTGAGTGCTAGCACTACAGGCACACACCACACTACGCACTGGAAGTATTCTTATTATTTATCTATTTATTATTACTTATCTATTTATCTTATTATTTATCTATTTATTTGGTGCTGGAGATGGACCCCAGGACCTCACACATGCTATGCACACTCTACCATTAAGCAGTACCCCTTATCTGAGTGGCCATATTTTACTTTTCTAGCCCCAGTAAAAACTAACTACAAATTCCACTCTGACCCCACACTCTAGCCAACCATATTACCCAAGAGTACCATCTGAGTTTCTCCTACTTATTTAACTTTCTGGAAGCAAAGCCATTGCTGGTATACTTCAAATGACAGCACTCAGTACAGGAAATGTGTGCCTGTACATTACCTGCTGCTTCTATATCTTTTCCCACCCCCCATCTCCCTTTGACCATCTTCCTCTCCTAAGTAAACAGTAAAAAAGCTGCTTCCATTTTTTCCTTCTGTGCTCTTCCACCACCACCCCCGTCCCTTCTTTCCATTTCCACTTTTCCCTCCTTGTTCCCCTTCTCATTTGAACATTTGCTTCCCGTTTCCCAAAATCTATTGCACATATTGGTGTTTACTTACATGTCTGTTTTCACATAGCAGAGAAGCAATGCAGCAAACATGTGTCATTGTTGCTCACTTAAAATGTGGTCTCCAGGTGTGTGTGTGTGTGTGTGTGTGTGTGTGTGTGTGTGTGTAGGTATGATTGTCTCAAGCTTATGCCTCCCGGGTTAAGGCATCTTGACAGTCAGGTGCATTAGCAATGGAAACCGCCCTGGCCAAGTCGGCAGCATGCTGATACCAGCTGAGCACCAGAGTAAGATGTTCCATCCAGTTTGCAATGTCAGGCACCGCCACATGCAGGGCAGGAGTCACTTCGTTTAGCTCCTGGTGATCCACAGTCATTCTCCACATCCCGTCTTACTTCTACAAAGAAGATAACAAGGAGCTGAAGGCTCTGTGCAGAGGGTATCAACCCTGCATCTTCTGATTTCAACACGGTCTGTTGAAATGGCCTCCAGGTAGCCCATACTCCTTCCTGTGGCCTGTGGAAAGGCCAGCAGTGCGTGCTGTGGGTGCCTTTCAGCCCACGGTTTTCAGCACGGGAACTCACTGCCTGAACTTTCCTTGTGTGGTGCCCATCTGAGCACCAGTCCGTATTCACCCCCAGTATGTATTCAGCACCTGAGGAAACACATCGTATGGGCCTGGCAGCAAGGGCCCAATACCCAAACTAGCCTGGGCTACTCTATCTTTGCAGACCACAGCTCCACTGGAGCTTCCTTTCGAGACAAGTCATCACATTTTTGAATCATTCTCTTTTACTCTTTGCTCTTGATTCTCACATACATCTGGATAAAAGCCCACAACTGCAACCACACTACAGCCTCCACATTAGATTGCCTTCAAATTTCTTCTAAAAGATTTAATCAGATGCCCATAATCTCAGTCTCGGGCAAAGTCTCTGCTCACGAGAAAAAGGCAGACAAACTTTCTGTCAAGCCTTAATGTACATCACCTGGAGCCTTACAGCCAGTGCTGTCCATCTGCCAGCAGGAACCTCCCGAACCTGGACTTTACCAGCTTTCTGATCATCAGTGCTCTGACCAGAATCTCCCATACACTACAGTCTGGAGTATTTCAGCTCTACTTTTTCAGCAGGCATCTCCAAAAATCTCAGTCTTTTCCCATAAAAAACAATCCCCAGGGCTCCTGAACCACATGATCCCACACAGTCCCAGAAGAACTGCACTTCTATAGTACAAATTCTTAGTTACTTTTCTTCTTACACTCAATAGTAACAGAGGGCAGGTTTGTTAGCTCACAGTTTGTAGGAGCTTCAGTTCATAATTGGCCGGCTCCAAGGCAGGTGGAACACGGCAGAGAGGCGAAAACTCAAGGCAGCAGAAGACATCAAAATCAATACCTGAAGCTAACAGTACCCTTCTGCCCCTTTTACACTTTATCCAGGCTGTTGGGATCAGGGCAGAGCCAGTGCAGTGAGTGGGCCGAGCCAGAATCCCTGTCTTATTCCAGCACACTTTACCCCAGCTGCACCATCAATCAGGCACTGAAGACTCAGCCACCTACAAGAAAGGGCCTATGTATAAACACATGAGGCTCTGGGGGACAGTTTGGGGGAGACATTTAGACACACAGCATAACACCATCTAACTCACCCATGACTAGGCCGTCAGCCAGTAGGTCCATTGAGATCTGGTGCCAAAGTCACAGCCTGTCCCTGGGCAGAAAGCCCCACTCACCCTGAGACCCCTTTTATTTTGTCCTGTGCCGGTACAATAGTACATCACTTGCACACACATACACCTCAGCCTGGCCAGGGCATCCACAGCACTGTGGATCGGGTGATCTAGAAGGAGTGTCACTGACCAGAATGCACCAACTGACTGAGTCACTGGGACCATTTTCTTCATTTTTGGAGAAGGCAGTGCTTCCCACTCCTCCAAACATGAGCTCCTCAGCAGCCAGCCATTACTCAAGGGCCTCCACCATACACTGCCGCTGGCTGACATGCTGAACAAGAACATATGCCTCTGGATTTCTTCGCAGAGGAGTATCAACAACAGCTGAGCTATTCACCTCGCCATCTCCTGCAGAGAGATTTGGACATCCCTTCTGAGGTTTGCAAGGCGTCTCTAGGCTCCAAATGGAATGTATCCCAGTCCTCCATGGACTTCCAAACTACCAAGAAGGTGGCCACAAGTAATCACGGCAAGGCCAGGGCTCACTTCCCAGACATTTCCTGGGCTCTCCCTTGCCTTCAGGCGCTGTTTCCACCGCCACCACGGGAATGCTCACCTCAATATCCTGTGGACTGCAGGAGTTGTCCGCCACCCTGGAGACCCAAGGAAGATTTTCCTGGCTGAGGTTTCAAGGCCTCAGAATGCACATATGGCAGACATCAGCACAAACAGCAGGCAGCCTGGAGCAGAGCAGAGCACACGAGCCCCTGCATTTCGTTGTATATTTCTTTTCTTGATTGTTTGGGTTTTGTTGTTATTGCTTTTTTCGGATTGGTTTCTTCATTAGCACATGTTTATAGTAGATAATATTACATTCCTTGTAGGAAGGTGACACATGTGCATAACACATCAGAATTTCTTTTTCACTCCCTTTCCCTTTCCCTTTCTTCTTCCTTTCATCAATTTCTTGATCCACTTGCTATTTTGTAAAGATAAAAATCATATGGCTGTTTTTACCTAAATAATGTCACATGACCCCTTTTCCATCTCCTCATTTCAGAGCAAAGTTTTACATTTTTGGCTTCTTTCTTTCTTTTTTTTCAGTTTAATTAAGTTTTTTGGCACAATGCAGGTTAATAAATGATGACTTCATCGTATAGAATTTGTCCCTGTAAGTAATGCACCTTTTTTTCCTGCCCATACCACTCCCCTCCTTCGAGCCCTTTTCTCCTCCTGAGTTACAAAGCTTTGTTTCCATTTTATGCTTCTTTTCTCATGTTTCCTTTTCCCTTCATTCCTTTCTCCTTTCCCTCCCCCTACGGTTATATATTTCTTATTCATGTTGATATCACCTGTTTAGAGTCTGCCTTCTGGCC